CACCCCTTACTGGTGAGTCTGCGGTGTAATAACAATATAATAACACAGTGTAATAATACAGGAACAGAGCACTGATGTCTCTGTGGGCACCCCTTACTGATGAGTCTGCGGTTTAATAACAATATAATAACAGTGTAATAATACAGGAACAGAGCACTGAAGTATCTGTGGGCACCCCTTACTGGTGAGTCTGCAGTGTAATAACAATATAATAACACAGTGTAATACTACAGGAACACAAGACTGACAGCTCATCTGCAGACACACCAGTGAGTCTGCAGTGTAATAATACTGTAATGACACAGCATTAAGAACCGGGAACACTGGTGCGTCTGCAGTGTAATAACATGGTAATAACACTGTCGTGAGTGTGTTAATAGAGTGTGCACTCTGGTCCCCCCCTGCAGGATGGCCCCAGAAGTCATCCTCGCGATGGACGAAGGGCAGTATGATGGGAAGGTGGATGTGTGGTCTCTGGGCATCACCTGCATCGAGCTGGGTGAGTGACCAACCCCCCGAGAACTACAGCTCCCAGGCTGCACCGGGGGGGGCCGTGCTGGAGCAGGGGTGCCTGGGACGTGTAGTTCCCTGTGTTCTGAGCCTGTAGTTCTCCTGTGGACTGGACAGGAGCTCACTGCTCCTCTCTCTGTGTTTGTCTTCCTGCAGCGGAGAGGAAGCCTCCTCTGTTCAACATGAACGCTATGAGTGCCTTATACCACATCGCACAGAACGAGAGCCCGGTGCTGCAGTCCAACCACTGGTGAGAGCTCGCCCTGTGTCTCCTCTCTCCGCCTCCTGTCTCTGCTCTCTCTCCTCTCTCCTCTCCCCCTGCGTCTCCTCTCTCTCTCCTCTCTCTCCTCTCCCCCTGCGTCTCCTCTCTCTCTCCGTCTCCTCTCTCTCTCCTCTCTCTCCTCTCCCCCTGCGTCTCCTCTCTCTCTCCGCCTCCTGTCTCTGCTCTCTCTCCTCTCTCCTCTTCCCCTGCGTCTCCTCTCTCTCTCTCCTCTCTCTCC